ATTCTTGTTTTGTGTCTCCAAGAGAACAATCTATTTAATATTATACAACAAATAGAAAAAACATTCTAAAAAATTTCATTGCCTCCTCGGTTATAGATAAAACGTTGTACATCACACGTGCGTTTAAACATGACTACAAAATTCGCGTGATTAGAACGACTCGGTTACGACCTCGTCTTTCTAAACTTTCACACTCGTTATTATAATAATGTTCATAAACGCTATTGTAATGTAAATGACTATTAATTACAAAGGTGCACAAGTAAGAAATTAAACAAAACACTTCCAATGATTATCCATTCAAACATTTCAAACGTGTATTCCGTAATATCTGCCCCTTTTCGGTAAGTTCATGACATTTTCCTTTATTTTCGTAGCAAACCAGCAACGATCCCAGAAATGGTTTTATAAGCGTGCAACCTTTGTGAATTTCTCACAAGCACATTACCATATCGAAAATTTTAGATTCTTACATGGCTGGACGAGGGCAGTTTCACCATCTCATGACACTATTTTTTGCAAAATAGAAAATTTTTCTCCAGCTTCACTAATACACAATCCGCAAATTAATTTCATGCACTTCAGGGAATAAAAGTACCCTTTTAATTCCTGTTTTAAGGGAGTAAAGTGGGCTTTTTGTTCCCCGGGATTAAATTTCACTTTATTTTCCGGGGATTAAATTTTCACATTATTTCCTGGGGATTAAAAGTACCCTTTTATTCCCTGTTTCATTTAATCGCCGGGAAATAAAGTAAAGTGCATAAAATAGTGTATACACCTCAGGACTAAAGTGTTTTTTATTCCCTCGACAAATTATAAATTTCTTGTCTCCGGATAAAAAGTACCACTTTAGTCCCTAGGTGTATAATGTAATATTACCTACCTATTATTTTTTCAATAGTCGGTAGAGATTTATTATAGGAAGGTTTTATTTTCTACCTAATTTATAGTAGCATAAATCAATAGTACTACCGATGTCAAAAAATTATAAATGATGGTCAAATGAAATCCATTAGTCCATTTATAATTTATGATAAAAATATAATAAACTAGGCGCCAGGAACAATAACCAAATTGGTTATTTGTATCGAATGTTGAAGGCTCTTAGTGGGACTTCAATATAATGTACTTAGATAAATTGCCTTTTTTTCGAACAGCCTGTATTTTGAAGCGTTTTAAGGGTAGGTCTAAGTATAGCTAAGAGATGTTAAATTCGATTTATGGAAAAACAGTGAGAATACTGGGATGCAAAATTTTCAAACCAAATGCTTTCGTAAACATATCTTCTAATAGAAGTAATAATTAGTAGGCCTTACACTGATAAAAATGGTCCACCTATGATAAAAGAATTGATTCTTTTGCCACTATTATCTTTAGAACAAGGACAATTACTTTCAGCGAAAATATTTGCTTTTATGTTGAGAAAACATGAATTCTTGCAGTCAGTTCAAGATTCTTTTGCCATTTGATGCTTTTAAGGGGAAATCAATTCGTTTAGCCTAAAACGTTCTGTGTTACGGATCTTCTGTGAAGAGAAGATCCTCTTAACGCAAGAAAGTATTTGGCTGGAGTAACGGGCGCGTCCATCATCACCAATACCCAGCCAACAAGTCGACGGGACTCCGGCACTCCCCTAGTTACAAATTCACCCTTGCCTGGTACAGGTCTCAAATCGCGAAAAGGCAGAAGCCGTCTGCATTTTTCAATTTGTAGCCGTGAGTCTTTGTGGTACGCGTTGAAGTATAGATTGTAAAATCATAACAATGAACGTGAAGGTATTATCAAATAAACTAAGCGGCAGATGAAGTGGGACACCCGAAAAATTGCCTAATTTTGACTTGCTATAACTTCGACATTTCTTTGCCGATCTTGGATTATCAGGCAGGGTTACAAAGCGCCATCTTTGGTCTGTGCGCCATTGTCGTCGTACATTTTTTGAAAAAATTCCTTCTCGTTATACAGGGTGTGAATGTAACGCGGCGAAAAATTTCCATTTTTTGGCGAAGAATATGGGAAAGATGGAGGATCCAATAAAGTTCTTTCTAGTGGTGACTCGATCACTAGGTCAAAACCTCGAGACGTCTTTTATGTTATTCGATTTTCTCTTGAAATTAGCGATTCTTTAATTGAACAATAACAGATTCCGTTTAAATTGCATCATCAAGTGACTTGTATAGAAAATAGTCAACACCGCAGTGGCGTGCAAAAGGGGGTTTATGAAATTAAAATAAAAAAATCGATTTTATCTGAAATTTTTAAGTTTTGTTAAGCTTTAAAATTTAACGCCCAAATGCACCATAAGGATTAAGGACTCAATTCAGATTAGTTGCTGAAACCAGGTTAGGACTTCTCTTTTATATGCAAATTTTCGAACTAAGCGACAATAAACTCCCAAGTCCATACGATGCATATGGGTGTAAAAGGTGTTATAAATAACTCTGATATGATGTCATTTTGGTTCTCCTTTAGCCAGAATAATTGCGTGGCACCGCCTTGACACGCTCGAAATTATTCGGTCAATAAGCTCTATGGTAACTGACTCCCAGAGCTCCAGAATCATCTCCTCGAGATCGTCTAGAGCCTCTGGCTGACGTTCTCCCCGGGAAAGCTCTAACTTCATTCAGCTTCAGACGAGCTCAATTGGATTCATGTCTGAGGATCTAGGAGGCAATTCGGTACGATTGAGCTTTTGCTTTTGCAGATATCGGTTCACTAATAATGCTCGATGAGGCTGAGCATTATCGTCTACAAGAACAAAATCCCCGCCATAATTTCGAGCATGCCGGAGAACTTGCGGAATCTGACCAAGGACACTTGGCCGTTAACATTGCCCCGAAATACCACGATACGACGAGTTCTGTTCTTCCGATGTGTTAGATACCGACCCAAACTGTCAATCCTCCACCGCCAAATGCAACTTGGGGACGCATGTTTTCTTCTAAAAAACGTTCTCCCCATCTCCGCCAGTATTTTCGAATTCATTCGAGTACATTTCGTACACGAAATTTGATTGACAGCAATGTAAATTAAATGAGGAGCATTCGAAATCGTATCAAATTTCGTATGCGAGAATATTCGAAAATACGACCCCTGGTGAACAATCGACCGTCAGAATTGTAGAAGTTAAAACGGCATACATCAACGAGAAAAGACAGTCTCTCCACCTAAAATCCCAATTCAGGTGTTCCTGGGCCCATCTTGTTCAGTTCCCCCGGTGACTGTTTGTAAAAAGTGGGCACTTTGCCCGACGGAAGAATTTAATCCCTGGTCATGTAGGCGTCTTCTAATGGTGTCTGCTGAAACATTTAACTGCAGATGCGTTAGCATTCTCCTGACAGTCCAAACTCTATTTTCAATTGCAGTACGTACCTACTACTAGTCGATTCTGACGAGGATTTGTTCTTTTTTGAGATCCTCGACCGTGTCGGTGAGGAGCAGTACCGTTGACAGGTCTGTTCACACGTTAACATTAAATAACATGAAAAATACTGTTTTTTTTTCTACCAAACGCTTCTGAATATCAAAATCAAACTCATCACAGTTATTTATAATAGTACAAGCGGTACGCAAAAAAAAGTAACTTTTCTTGCAGAAAGCATGCCGCTCTGCAGGTCTAGTGCAGAGCTTCAAAGAATTGATTTGACCCGGAGCACACCGACTTCCGACCATGTGGGCTCAAAATGGCGGCTTTAAATAAATAAATAAATAGGAATGAATAAAAAATAAAAATAAAATATTTCAATTGTGCCGAGTTTGGTGTCGTTTCCAAACAAAAAGAGGTCACCGAGATCAACCTTGAAATGAAAAATGTCGCAAGATTGCTAGTTTCAGTCCCACAGCTATAAAAGGGGGTAATTTTGATCCTTGCTAGTTTCAGTCCCACAGCTATAAAAGGGGGTAATTTTGATCCTAATGCAACCCGTTTGCCGACAACCATGTAAAATTTGTTTCTGCTTATAAAATTCAATTTTTAAATTATCCAATTTATAAAATAAATAAAATAAATAAAATAAATAAAATAAATAAAATAAATAAAATAAATAAAATAAATAAAATAAATAAAATAAATAAAATAAATAAAATAAATAAAATAAATAAAATAAATAAAATAAATAAAATAAATAAAATAAATAAAATAAATAAAATAAATAAAATAAATAAAATAAATAAAATAACAATATTCTCCAAAAATTTAATTTGGACTGGGATTCAACAAGCACAAATGAAATAAGGACTTTATTTTTATTTACAATATTAAATTACATAAAAAAATATTAAATATATAAAATTAAAAGTTCAAACTATTTGATTCAGGCACACATGTTCTATATTTCTACTGCACGCTCATCGTCAAGTTCTGAGTAGGTACCTGGTGCTAAAAATAATTATGAGATTGAATAAAATCGAAAAGTAAAATCAATAAGCTAGACAAGAAAATGTGTGTCTGATCTCACCTTTTATTGCTGCATTCTCCTTTGCATTTTTTGCAATTAGGAGTACAGGTCAAAGACCCCCTCATGCAGAGGCAGCGCATTGTGTTGCAATCAGAGGCGCATCCACACCTATCTAAAGCACGACAAGCTGGCCAAATTTCTTCAATGGAAGACCAGACAGGCCTCCAGCCGGTGTCACAACGAGCCCATCCCCAGTGAAGGGGTAATGGAGGTCCTTCCAATTTGTCTGCCCTACCCCAGATTTGGCCTGCTTGGTAGGCGGCTCTTAATATGTGTTCCTTTACTGCAGATTCTGTAGGAGGTATTAGGTTAACAGGCCTATTTTGGGTTGCGAATAGTAACTTTCGAGCCTGATTCACGCTTATACCGCCCTCTGTTACTCCATAAAGCTTCACGGTATATCTGTTCAAGGCCTGAACAACGTTCGCTTCTGGAAAAGGGCCAGGTTCTGAAATGGAAAGGAATGCATCGGTAGCTTCATCGTCTTTCCATGCATTCCAAGCTTTTGTTTTGCTTCGGGAGCTGAAGAAAGATGTCGTGTCACACCCACTAAATGCATGAAATCCTCGAAGGGCAGTAGCTTTCTTTTCTCCCAGTGTCAAGGCAATTGAGTTAGCGGGTATATAGCGCCTTAATTTACCACATCCAAATAAAATCCACAACTGTTCAAGACCTTGTGACTGCAATTTGAAGAAAAAAAAAGATACTGCCAGTACAAGGATATCAGTATCGGAGCAGCGAACCACAATATTTTGTGTCCCATGTTGTACCATGTCAGCCAAATGTAGTATAACTCGTCCATCAGCTTCTTCAATTTGATCGCACAAAGCTTCGTTGAGGGAAGATGAAGCTGGAACCGATGCACGAAGTGTGACTCCAACATTAGTGACAACATTAAGTTCCTCTGTTTCTGCGAGACTTCCTTTTGCTAGGTATTCGAAAAGCTCGACTTTGTTTGATGAGTTTTTAAGGTACTCGTCCCATTTTTTCGGAAGCTCTCCTGAAAGAAATAGATGAGTTTCAAAATGTACAAAGAAGTGTCGACATTAAAAATGTCTACCTTTGTTGGGCAGGTCCTGACGTCGAGCTCCAGTACCTCTCGACTGTCGTGCTGTGGTCTTGATGCTATCATCTCTATATAAATCCCAGGCTATGTCAACACGCTCTGCTTTGAGATTCTTACAAAATACTTCTATATGAGATTTAACTTGAGCTCGATATTCAGAGAATAGTTTGATTGTAGGGGAAGGTTTCAGAAAATGTACTAAAGCTGCGCCATCGTACACAACTGCGTCACAACTGGTTGGCTGTGGTTGTTGAATTTCCCGGCAAAGGTTTTCTAAAATTGAGACAAGTGTACTCTTGGATCCAGTGCGAAGTTCTCCAGAAACTGATATTGCGGGCGGAAATGACTGATTTTCATGTTCAAAAAATGTATCCAAGTCTAAACGGCGAGAAGAACTTACAATAAACAGCCGGGAGAACAGTTGAGCATCAGATTTAAGCTGTTGGTTTGGTGCCACTCGCACCAGTTTCTTTTTTTCAAAACAGAAAATGTTTACATTGCTTTTCTTGATTGGAGAATATAACGAGGTTGGTGCTAATACGAGTCTGTCAATAAATTCATGAAATAAGTCATTTCCTATTGTCTCAGCTCCATGAAGAGCCGCAACACCTTCTTCGTCAGCCACCATTCTAGTATCTAGGGCTATCAGGTCTTCACTTCTTATTTTAAAAGGATTTTCTGCTTGAATAAAGCTTTCTTTGAGGGCAAGGCATTTTTCATAAAAGGATTTTTGGAAGGCAGAGTATTGTTCATGATGATGCGTGCCTTTTTTATCAACCCCAGCGATGTTTTCTTGGAATTGAGAAAGTAGGCCACTAATCTCGGGTCCTACAATCATCCATCGTTTAAGAGCAGTGGCATCGTGGAGGAGACCAACAGCTCCACCATCAGCTTTAATTAAAGCATTATTTTGTTCGTGGGCTTGATCTATACCAACAGCAGAGAAGATGCAGCCCGACTTATGGACAACAAAGTTACCTAAAACGTAAAGGACGTCAGAAATATCAAGCACATGTTATTGAGTGGCTGACATACCAAGCATGAACTCGCAGTAGACATTGGGTAATTTTGTTTCCAGTTCCAAGAGATCTTTAACGTGCACTGATATCCAACGTGCGTAATTTGAATGACTAAAAGCAAAAAACCAAGGAATCATCCGCAGTAAAGACTCTGTGTACTCTGTGAAATTTCCCAAGCGCAAAGCTCTCAAAAAAGAAAGAAGAAGTATTTGTAAGTTCATCACGAGTAACCAGTATTGAAATGTTGGTGATTTTGGTGATATCAGGTTTACCCAATCATCAAAAGGTTGTTCTTCATTTGGATTGTCATCCCTATATGCATCTTGAAGTAGCGAGTAAAGGACAGCCACTGTATACTGATGATGTAAACGAGCTTTAGTGATATGGGTTACCTGCAAAGTCAAAATATTGATAATAATGATAAGTTCTTACAGTGATTTGAATTCAAGAAAACATGAATTAAGTTACCTTTAGGACGGCTTCTGCAGATCCAGCACTTATAATACCAGAGTTAGAGAGTAACTCAACCCATCCTGAGCCATTCAGCAATCCGCCTAATAACTTTAAAAAATTTTGTTCTATGTGTAATGGCCCAAACATTGCAACAAATTTATTCTCTCCAAATAATAGTGGACAGTTCCATTGAATTGTTTTAATTATTGCATATAATGGCTGATCTGCACATAGAACTGCTGGTTGGTTCTGTCCATTAAGAAGCTCTGTGATGCGATGCACTATTTTCATACCATGTCTTATCATAGCCGGAGACGTAGATTTCTCATAGAACAGCGGCAGCAATGTGCTGATGGATTTCAGTATTGTAACATTGTCTTTGACTTCGTTAGAGCGAAAGGATGACCATGATATATTTTGCGGCATCTTTTCACATAGTTCGTTCATTTGCACATGAATGTGACTGAGCCAATCACTCTCCAGATGCCACATGCTCATGACATTCACTAAAAAAAAATAATAATAAACACTAAGAAGTGAAAACTAGAAATCTTACCTGAGGCTCTCATTCTTTGGGCGATATCCTCTGAACAGGATGAAGGAGCTGGTTGCTTATTGTGAAAAATGTAATCAGGAACTACAGCGAAAGAATCTGGCAAGTTAGGCACACTACGTAAGTTGTTCGCTACATCTTCAAATGAGATTTGAAAATTTCTGATAGTTGCTTCTTCTTCTTTGAAAGGTAACTGAAAAACAAATATTCCTGTACCATGGAATGAGCCTGCGCTGGTCGTACTAGAAGGATTGTGGTCAATATTATCGATGGCGGCGACAGTAAATAATCCTTTCTTCAACGAGGAAGGGCAAACCACTCCTTCTTCTTCGGCTCTACCAACTACCACATGAGAAAACTGAGCTGTGATCTCCATGACTCGATTAGAAGATATAGAAATTCCCAAATTATGAAGTTCATCTATCTGTTGCTTATTGCGACTGCGTGCATATATCGAGAGTCCAAGATAAATTGGTAATGGTGGTTCAAGCTTTTTTTTATGTCTGATTATATTTCCTTTGGGTAAGGCTTGAAGCATGTTGAACATAATTAATTGGCATATTGTCACGGCAGGTTTTGAGGCGCGACACTCAGTATGCACAGCTGAGCCGACACATATTAATTGTGGCAAGTAATGAAGAAGGGATGGCCTTTTCTTCACAGTTTTCTTCAAACTCTCCTTTGAATGCCACATTTGAAGAAAAAACAGAACTTCTCACATTGTTAATAAAGCGATTAAACCCTAGGGTGTCCCCTTCGCTATCTGATTCACTAATGTTATTGAGCACGTTTGACTCATTCGGGATAAGAATGTACTCTCTGCCACATTTGTGTTCCTTTAAGCTGGTAAACTGATCCAGTATTTTTTGGCGAAACCTCTGCGTTTGACGAGCGACGTCACTTGTTGGTAATCTTGCTAGTAGTTGGGTTATTCTAGATTTATACTGATTTCTTAATTGACCTAATCTAAACACACATTTTTTTTCAAGTCTGTCTAGTTATTTTTGCATAAACAATAAAAGATCAGCAAATGCTAGTCCCTCGCAAACCAACTCATCATCCACCTTTTCTGAATTTTTAGATGATGCTTTTCGAGCTTTAGTATATAGCCTGGATAAACACAAGCGATGATATTTAGCTTCTCTAGCTACAAGATCTCCTTCGACAATTAGGAGGGCTAATAACTCAGTATCTCCTAATATATCTGCATAACTCTTAATGTTATCGTGGATTTCTTTAGTAGCACAGCAATGGAGGGCTTCTTTACGGGTACCTTCAGTTTTGCATATAAAGCAAATTTGCTCTTTTGGCTTTATCGGTTTTGAGGCGACTCGACTCGCTCTAGATGTCGATGGCTGTTGAGGCATCATTTCATCAACTTTACTACCGAGCAAATCCTCAGATTCTTTTTTTGATTGACTCCTTATAAGAGTTTCAAACCTGGCTGATGAATACTTAACTATGCAGTTTCTGTGCCACTTGGCTTTCTTTTCGATAAAAGTTGCCAATATACTCAACAAAACCGTTAAAATTTTCAAATAAATCGTTTTTTTAAATTTTAATTTCATAAATTCCCTTTTGCACGCCACTGGTGTTGACCATTTTCTATACAAGTCATTCCATGATGCAATTTAAACGGAATCTGTTATTGTTTAAATAAAGAATCGCTAATTTCAAAAGAAAAACGAAATACCATAAAATGGCCATATTTCCATAGCAACGCAATGTATCGAAAAAATGGCAAAGACGTCTGGAGGTGTTGACCTAGTGATCGAGTCACCACTAGAAAGAACTGAATTGGACCCTCTATCTTTCCCATATTCTTCGCCAAAAAATGGAAATTTTTCGCCGCCTTACATCCACACCCTGTATAACGAGAAGGAATTTTTTTAAAAAATGTACAACACTGACGTATAGACCAAAGATGGCGCTTTGTACCCTGCCTGATAATCCAAGATCGGCAAAGAAATGTCGAAGTTATAGCAAGTCAAAATTAGGCAATTTTTCGGGTGTCCCACTTCATCTGCCGCTAAGTTTAGTTGGAGTCTGGACCATTTATGGCCAAAGTTTGAAGGTAAGTTTGAGTGCCTTTTCAAGCCATACCGCATGCATTTGTGCCGCCTTTTCGTGTAGGCCATATTTAGTTACCTATAGCCTGCTCGCGGGTAACATTCGACCAGGTTTTGCCCTTTATCATTTCGTTTACCATCACCAATAATATTTGCTCTTGTATCTATGTACCACAAGATAATTTGAATATAATAATCAATGAGGCTTCCAAGTTGCTTTTGTTATAGAATTGGCGGTAATGGCGTTATTTTAGGTTTAAGGCACTTCTCACAAAAGAATGTGGGACTCTTTAGAAATATCGTACAGTGTGGCCATCGGGCTAAAGATCTTTGTCTTAAGACTCATGACTTTGTTACAAAGAATTCCTAATTTTGCTGCAAAAATGGTTTTCTCTTGTGGTAGGTACACAAGTGTCAATAATTTTATTTGGATTTTGGCTTCTTAATGCGAAAAAGTGTGCAATTTACTAGATTTTAAATGCTCTTCAAGCCTATAAAGTTTAAATAATTAACTTCTAGTTAAGTAGTTACCTACCGACTATTAAAAATCCTTGCTTGCAATTTTTACTGAATATCAGGAAGCAACAGCACCTAAAAAAATTGAGTTACTGACAGAATATAACAAATCAGAATCATTAGAAGCCTATCAGATAAACAGTACAGAAGAAACCATCATTTTAGCTGAAATAGAAGATATTCCAATCGTTTTCATCGCTGATGGACCCTTACCTGAAGAGCATGAGGGTAAATCTTTCTGTTATACCTACTTATCCTTGGAATTTCACATCTACTGTTCAATATTTTTGTAACAATGTTACCATTAAAATTAAGTTTGCCTTATTATTATTTATCTTATATGTTTTCAATAGCACTGTTTTGATGTATACCTATCTAATGTATTCTAGCAGAAATTAGAAGTTTTGTTTTTTATTTACGACTAATGTATAATGTGCGTATTATATTTGTGATTTTGGCAGTATAATGACATATGTTATTCCTCCAGGGATTAATGACGAGTAGCGGGATTAATGGTCATTATTCCACAAAAGTGTCAGTGTCAAACGTGTAGTGCTTGTGGATTTGTATAGAAAATTATGAGACGGATGAAATTTGTTCATTGAAAATCTCAAATAAATTAATCTGTCGTAAATAAAGTAGAGTATACTACTCGCAATAATGGGTATTATTCCCTCGGAATGTTACTCACTCGCCGCTGACGCGGCTCAGTTCGTAATAATCCTCGGGAATAATAGCTATCATTATTGACTCGTGGTATAATCTACTATTATTTATTATTTCAAATAAATATAATATGTTTGTATATTGCAAAGACTATTTATGAGAATTCTGAAATATCGTTTTACTTTAACCTTCGTTCCAGGAAAGAAAATGCAAGTTCCAGATACATTAAGCCGCGATCCAACAAGGGACTCTGTAAATACAGATTATCTGGAAACAAATGTGCGAGTTTTTTCTATAATCGCTACTAGACCAGACAACGAAAAAAGGCTACAAGAATCTATAAACAATGATTGTGTACTACAACAAATTAAAGGTTATGTGCTTAATGGATGGCCTAAATATAAAAATGCCTTGCCATTGGAAGTGAAAAAATATTGGGAAATTAAAAGTGACATCTACCTACACAAGGGCATACTTTTCTATAAAAAGAGACTAATTATTCCTTATAGTCTCCGAGATGAATTTTTAAATCTAATACATTCATCTCACCAAGGAGTAGTTGCTTGCAAAAAACGAGCCGAAGAAGCTATTTATTATCCAGGCTGGACTACAGACATTGAAAAGCTAGTTCTGTCCTGTTTGTTATGCCAAGCATATGCATGATCAAATGAGAGAGAACCTTTGATTCCACATGAAGTGCCTGATTTGCCATTTCAGAAAATTGGCACCGATTTTAAGTCTTTTGGTAATAAATATTCAGTTTATATTGTTTTTATATCAAATCAATCCCGTACTATATATTAATATTGTAGATAATAATATATTGTTGTATTAGGAGTAGAAGCTTTACACACAAAAAAGTGCTTCTACTCCGTATGCAACACACTATTTTTTCTCCAAACGAATGGGGTAAGCTCAGGGGTAACTGATTGGTTAAACGGCAGTAAAAGTACGAGCGGCACTAAAAGTACTTTTGCTGCCGCTCCAGCGGCACTAAAAATACTTCTACTGCCGCTGCGGTTGCCTAGCAGCATAGAAATTAAATTTCTACCACCTCGACAGGTGTTAACCCGCTGACTTTGCCTACCAGCATAGAAATTAAATTTCTAACATCTTGTTAGGTGCTGACAAAGTGACGTTTTTTTGACGTTTGGAGAAAAAAGTAATTGTATGACACTTTTTCGTTGCAAATTGTTATTAATAGTGTGGAAAGCCAATTGACCTTTTGTTTGGACGCCATATTGCGGTGCGCGAGTATAGTTGCCAACAGTAGAAAAAAAAAATTACTAGCGTTCTGTCAACTTTAAAATCCAAAGTTAGTGAATAAATTACATTTAAAATTTAAATTTGCCGCCTTTTACGAATGTTTTTGGAAAGAAAAGCCATCAATTTTAGCTTGTATTGGGCAGAATAGAAATTATAAAATATCTAGTTGACAGCCCGCTAGTAATTTTTGGTTTTCTTGTTTTGGCAACTATGTTCGCGCACCGCAATATGGCGTCGAAACAAAAGGTCAATTACCGACAATTGATCGATAGAATTTTAGACCATTGATAAAAATAGTATAGTATATTACAATCCAAGACGGGAAATTAGGTAGTACTGTCGAAAGATTTAATAGTTTATCGAGACGCGTAGCGTCGAGATAAACTATATCTCGAGATAGGAATTAAATTTCCTCTCAAGCATAGTATACTATTTTATTTTTAACCATAATTTTTTGCCTATTTAAATTAGAAATGAAATTGAATGTGAACGTAGCTTCAAGCTGTTTGTTTAAATTTTATGTCATTATCATCAATTTTGAACAAAACTTGACAACACCTGCCACATAAATGTAATGAAATGAGGACGGGTAGTGAACCAAATCCGAAAACGGAATCCGGTAATTCAGTCGTTAAGCACGTCGTTGCCCTCTGAAATACGCACTAGAGTTCGACAATACAACTAGATTAAACAATTTCACATGTACAAAAATAAGCAGAGGATAAATGGAAATATCTTTTTTCTACTGACATTTCATAATACGCTATTAAACGATTAAAATCTGTATCATAATGAACTTCATTACGATACAGATTTTCATTATAATACTCATTTTTAATATTATACAATGTTGATAGATGTCAGCACTAGTTAAGATATTAAACATTTTAAACGGTAATTTTGCATAAAACAATTATTTTGATAACTATAAGAAAGACTGCGAATTGTTTAAAAGTTACCTAAAGTTTGGGACAAAGAATAATTATTATGGAAATAATGAATGATAAGGAAGAATTTTTACTTTTTTCATTATTTTACAATGTCAATAGATGGCGCCATCAGTTAAAAAAATTTGAATTTTTTTTTTTTGAATGTTGGCAGCACTCTCTTTATAGCTTTTCCATGGTAATTTAGCGAAAAACAATAATTTTATAAACAAAAATACCTCAAATTGTTA